CTCACACATGCGCTGAAGGGGTACGCTTACATAACGGAGGGAGGGACCAAAGGCCTCTGGCTGGGCAGTGCTGGCCACACTGGCCCAGGTAGATGTCATTGGCTAATTGGATAAAAAATGCATGTGGCTCATGCTCTGGGCTCTCAAGTTTCACATGAAGGACAACGTTGCCTTTTGCAGGGATGCCCACTATCTTTGTGAGCCTGCTGACCTTCCGAGGATGCAGCCTCTGCTATGGGGAATTCAGGTTATTCTGGAGTCGGTAAGACAACCTTGTAAAACACACCTGCGTGAGTGGGGATTTGACTGAGGGCTTAGTTCACTCCTTTCCTGTCTCTTGGGTTCCCATTTACTTGGCCACTTTTGTAATAAATATTGGGTTTATTGTTGAGCTCCCAGCAGTGTCTTGGTTTTCAATCTCGGCATCCTTTCGAACTCACCCTGTTACACCAGTACAGCAGCACTCAGTGGTTTTGTGACTTGGTTCAGGTCACAATAGTCCACTGTCAGTCTCCACTCTCTATTGGACTTATGCACTGGCCATATAGGACTATTAAAGGGTGAGCAAGTCTTGCTGACCACTCCCTGGCTCTCCAGTTCACAAATCATCTCATGGATGGAGATCATAGAGTCCCAGTTCGTGCGGTATTGTTGAGGGTGCACTGTTGTGGTAGTGTTTGGTACCCGTTGTTCTTTGACCCTCAGCAGTCCCACAGCAGAAGGGTCCTCTGAGAAGCCAGGCCAAGCTGTCTAATCTCTGTCTCCACAGCAGCTATCCCAAAAGCCAAACAATGCCCTTTTGTGTCCTTGAAATACCCTCTCCTCAGGTAATCTATGCCAAGGATGCACAGGGCCTCTGGATCAGTCACAATGGGGTGTTTTTGCCATTTGTTCTCAGTCAGGCTCATTTCAGCTTCCAGTACAGTCATCTGTTGGGATCCCCCTGTCACCCTAGGAATAGAGATGGATTCTGCCCCTACATATTCTGATGGCATCAGGGTACATTTTGTGCCAGTGTCAACTAAAGCCTTACATTCTTGTGGGCCTGATGTGCCAGGCCATCAGATCCACACACTCCGATAGATCCGATTGTCCCTTTCCCCCATCTGGCTAGAGGCAGGGCCCCTCTAGTTCTGGTCATGATACTCGTTACTCACTTCTTGTAAATATGAACTGGAGGTCCCTTCAAGAGGATCAGAAGTAAAATCAGCCCTCCTATTCTCTCTGAGGACTTGCCCACTTAAAGATAACAGATTTGCCTCTCTTCTACTACTCTCTTACATCCCACACAATTACTGTAAGTTGAGAGAAGGTTTATGCAGATAAAAGAGACTTGATTGGGGAAAAAAGTAATATTAACATTTATTACTAATAAGACAAAAACTAAAGAACTATATTTACAATAATTCTACTCAAGTAAAAGTACTATGTATTTACAGAAATACTTCTCCCTCCTTTATATCAGTCCAAGGAGGAAAAGCAGTCTCTTTCTCCATTCTTGGAGCTCCAGGTCTTTTCAATAACTCTGCAGCACTTTAAAGTTCTTCCTCTGTTATCTAAGGACGACAACTCCTTTTTGTCGCAGCTGGAACTCTTTATCTCTCTTTCTTCTATGTCGGCCTCCAGGGCTGGGCCTACCCCCCTCCTGGGCTAAGACCGGAGGTTAGGGGTTACCCAGGCCCTGTAGGGTCTTCAATGGGTTTGCAAGGGGACACTTGCCTGCCATGGATCTTCACCACAGGGTCACAGGGGATAATGGTTTTTGAGTCCACCCCTGTTTTCCTGTGAGGTCCCTCCCCACGGGAGAACAGTCCTTGATAGACCTCTCTGACATGGGTCTAACATGGATCCCACACATGGATCCCAACATCCCTACCCGAGCCGTTCTTGCTCCAGCGTAGGTTCTCTCAGGGTCATAAATCTTCAGCAGCAGCATGGATCTCTCACTGAGATCCCAAGCTTACCTGAGCCGTTCTCACTCTGGCGTAAGCCTCGTCCCTCTCAGGGTCATAAATCTTCAACAAAACTCTGCCTCATTTCAGTCCTTTTCATGAAGTCTCAGTTCCTTGTACATCCACAAACTCCTTTGTGAGCCGCATGGGGGGTCTCCTCACCCCAACAATCTTCCAAAGGTAGCAGGAATTTATTTTTCAGCCTTTTCCCTGCTAAAGGGAGAGAGCAAGAGAGGGGGGAGAAGCAGTCCCCCCTTCGAACTTCGCTCTCCTACTGCTGCTAGTTTTGACCTTGGAGGTCCCTTATCTCTCTGCTGGAATTTCTTCTGCAGCGTTTTCTCATCCAAGCAGTCTTCTAAAGTTTTTTTCCTTCACTCTCTTACATGAGAGAAGGGAGGCTTCAGTGTCACACCTGTCCCTGGCCCAAGCTGGGGGAGGAGGGAGGCCTGGCCCCCACCTGGGGCCCGCCGCCATTTCTACATGGCTGCCGCTTCTAATTTCAACTGCGCAACCAGCTTCTCTTCCGTTTTCCTAAATATGTAATTAGCAAAGGCGTTACTGAGAGTTTTGATTGGCTTTTTGTCCGGAAATCCACCTGGACAAAACCATCCTCAGCCCCAGGGGCTGGTTTGTGAGCAAAACCATGACAATCTGATTTCTTGAGACTTCTTAGGAACAAGGTTTTTTTTTTCTCTTCGGATTATACCTACTCTGCAAGTTTACAACAGTTATTGCAAAATTAGGTATAAAAACTGTTGCAGGTACAAACCTCATATGACATAAATAGGTGATTTAATTGACACCTTCATGTTTGGCTAAAAGTATAAACCCCACTACTGAGGCTGCTTAGCCTCCTTTTTGAAATTAGTTGAAGAAAAAAAAAACAAAAGGCGGAGGGGAAATTCCACCTAAGATAACCCAAATCTCACTCCTAAAACTATGAATTGAAAACATTATGCCCTTCTCATGGAGTGACAGTCATATTATTCTCATGTACCCATGTCAGAGAACAAGTCTGACATTTCCTACTGGCAATCCAAACCTAAATCTAGTCACCGGTTCTACTGCAGATATCTACAACTTCTGATGGGATGGACAGCTCTACGCAAACAGAAAATCCCAGAGATCTTTCCTCCCCAAAGTTCTGGTAAAGTTTTTCTGAAAATTCTAGTATCCCTTGGATGCTGTAGCCCTTACAGTATCTTCACAGGTAACTGATACTTTTGAGTGTCAGAAATAACTGGAGATTAAATAATCTAATAATCAAATGTTATATGGACACACACAGTAATTACAGTAATGTACAATCAAACAAGGAATCAACCAACACATTATTTCTAAAACAATAAATGCTTAACAAATAGCAAAAAAACCAATATGAGTTTTCAGATCTAAAAATTTCAGGTAACGTTATAAGTGAAACCTAAGTATTACTTGTAAGTCAGAAAACCTGAAGTTTCTCAAAACTTTGCTTTGTTTCAAATTTTAAAACTCATGGTGAAAAATCTGTGTAATAGTAAAGTGTGCTAAATTCCTTATTTTTATTGCAGGTGGACCTAGGTCATAAAATTAATTCAGTCATTAAAGTAAAAGAAAACAAACAAAAACCCTCAAAAAAAACCCAACAAAAACCAACAAACAAAAAATCCCCAAACATTGTAATAGTCAAGGACTAACAAGCCTGAAATATCACTATTCTATCCCTAGTATATTCTGATTAGATTAGGGGTCCCACAACATACTTCCAAATAAATGTTCTTGGCTTTGCTAGCATTTTAAGAGTTATTTTCATTAACAGATGAGTCACTTGTATTCATAACATATTCCTCCAACATTGCAACCAGGAACTCCCACATGCTTCTGTGTTTTTACAAAACAGCTGAAAAGCAACATTGCTGGCCTCAAAACTTTTTAATTATATATATGCATGCTCATGCCATCCCAAATTGCATTTTTTCTTAATTCATATGTAACATGCACTGGGGGAAAGGATTATTTTTCCCCCCTAGATTATCCATTCAGAGAAGCATGTTTGTACTGGCATTTTTTAACAGTTTTTTATGACTATGGGCTTTTATTATTTAGGACGGTGATTTTATTCAGTAAGAAGGCAAAGCTGATAACATCCAAATAACATAGATTTTACTGGTGAGGAAAAAAAACCTTCAAAATTCCAAACCACCATGTTTAGCATTCAAATCAAGTATTTTCCCTTCAGTTATTCAAAATATATTTGTTTCAGTATAACTATTTATTATCATTTGATTGTGTTTGTAAAAGCAATAGTTCCCACCTACTTATATATAGTAACAGTTTGTATCCCTGCAAAACAAAAAGATATTCCAAGAAATCACATAGACCTTTCCTAGAGTAAAATTACTGTAGCAAAAATATGGAAGACAAGGAGAGTAGAAAATAACAAGTACCAACTTTTATTATGTGATGTACAATATGGATCTGAGATTATCCTTACTCTGGCTGCAAATATATTTCATGTTAGGTATGCCACTAGGAATGAGCCCAAACCGACTTTTTTGCCCTCTAGTGATAGAGTATCCATGAACAAACTAAAAGACACATGATGGTACATGAAATTAGGTAGTCGTGGAAAATCATACCCATGGCACAGTAAATTTAGCAAAGGTAAAGCCTGTGCTTGAAAAAGCTAAAGTTCAAGCTTTCTCCTGCACTTGTTTCAAAACCCCATGATATCTGAATAAAAGCACAGCTAAGCTTCTAAGTGAAATGCAGTGCAGAGGTAACTATAACATGTAGTTGTCAAAAAGACAGCTTACTCTGATGCTGGGTGCAATCAATAAGGAATGGGGTTATCTGCAGCAAACTTCAGCAAAATACTAAAGGCTCTCACACAGCATAACATTCACTCATCACTTAACCTCCAGAAACACAGTCAGAAAGTTATCATTCAAATTTTTGAAATCTCTTCAGTAAATGCAGCATTCAAGTTATCTGATACACAAGATCACAAGAAACATTGTTAAACTGAATATAAGTAAATTGGCAAATATCGAGAAGACAAACACTCACTGGAAAGTTCTGGTTATATCCTGATGGATAAAACTCAGGTGCTTTAACGGACAACTTTGATGTTATTACAGGAGCCACAGCCACCTGAGATTCAGCCATTTCCAGTTCAGAATCAGGAACTGAAACTTTCCCTTGTGATCCAGATGGAATTCTTGCCTGTTGCAGGTGTTCTGAAAAGTTTTTGATAAATAGTTTCTGTTAATGGTTTTTCTTAGAAACTGCTAAATTAGTATGTATTCACATAGAGTATACACACAGAATACATCACTTTTTGGACTTTAAATATATTTATACTATAAATATACTTTCCTCCAAGCTCAGAAGGGATGCATCCCAATGCAGAGGAAGTCAGGAAAAAATGCCAGAAGGCCTGCGCAGATGAACAAGGAGCTCCTGGACAAACTCAAACACAAAAAGGAAACCTACAGAAGGTTGAAGCAGGGACAGGTAGTCTGGGAGGAATACAAAGAGATGGTCTGAGGAGCTAGGGATCAGGTTAGGAGAGCCAAAGCCCTGACAGAATTAAACCTGGCCAGGGACATCAAGAGCAACAAGAAAAGCTTCTATAGGTACGCTGTACCTGACAAATTTGGTGGCCTTCTATGATGGGGTTACAGCGGTGGTAGATGAGGGAAGAGCAACTGATGTCATCTACCTGGACTTGTGCAAAGTGTTTGACACTGTCCCACACAACATCCTTGTCTCTAAACTGGAGAGGCATGGATTTGATGGATGAACCACTCAGTGGATAAGGAATCAGCTGGATGGTCACGCTCAAAGAGTTGGGGTCAATGGTTCAATGTCTAAGTGGAGAGCAGTAACAAGTGGAGTCCTCAGGGGTTGGTGTTGGGACCAGTGGTATTTAACATCTTGTCGGTGATGTGGACTGTGGGAAGAAAATAGTGAATGTCTGAGCAATTTATATTGTGTGTAGTGCTTTTGTGGACTTTTATAAACCTTTGCATATTTTTATAAGTACTATAAGTTATAAGTCCCAAGATGGCTGCGGGTGTCTCCTCAAGAACAAAGAAAAACGTGGTTCAAGAAGAAGGTGGAGCCCGTTAAAGTAAACTATTACTTGGTTATCTGTTAATGTCCAATTATAAAGGAATTTGTAATGGATGTTTTCAGCTGGATG